AAATCCTCTGAGAGAAAGTGAAAGGAGCTGCACAATGGTAAGATGGAGTAAATAGAGGATATGTAATAGGCCAAAGGGGGGGGGGGACTTCAAGAGATTTATGTTCAAGAAATGCAGATGGATCATAGCCACAGTCCAAAGCAAAGAGTAACAAAGGCTGACTTGGTACAGCCCATACTTTGGAGAGGAAAGTATCAGCATGAACACAAGTCTGAGGAAGGGAGAAAAAGTCAGAAGACAAAGGCTCAGGAAGCAAAGGAACCTGAGACTTATCTAAAACTACTGGAGAAAGAATGTCATATTTGAGTAAAAAAAGAGTTGCAAAGCAAGAAGGCAGGGGTACTAGTTCCTCTTCAGAAGAAGCAATTGAAAGTGGTGTTTGAAGTCATCATAAGACAAGACAGGGTCAACAACAGAAACAGACAGACATAGTACCTGAACTTGAAAAAATTATGCTCATGGTGACTAATGCACATGGAGAATTTATTGTCATTCTAATGGTGGAGGACTAATATAATGATAATTACGTTATAGGCTGGCACAATACACATTAATACATATCGGCTTGTGGCACATGCAGAAAATTACACGGCAGTGCATGCAGGGTAATAGCTCTTTGTGATATAGAGGGGCAAGTAGCATTTCTGAAAAAATTAACTCTTAAAAAGCCTGGGTACTACTTGATGACATACTTTTTGACATCTTACTCGAAACTTCTATGTTTTTCTTGTTATATGTAATATTGTTGTTACTAGAGGGCTAGTTATTTTATGATTTTTCTGTCACGTTATAAATACATGCAAATACAGAATTAAGTACGTTGGTAAAAGTGAAAAAAGTGAAGGTAGATTGTATGATTGTAAGGTTAGCCATAATGGGCAATATCTAAAGTGAGTTGCACAGTTTTTATTGTCATAACATAAATAGAGGAGAATAATTTGTCTTGTCAAAGGGTGTTCTAAAGTAATTGAACCGACCTGGATACAACTGTGGTAACCAACAGTTAGTGGTGATTTTGAACTGAGTTTCACAGCTTGTATTGTAACAGAGATAGAGAACAATCATTTTTGTCAACTGGGTTCTAAAATAATTGAACCAGCCTGTGTGGAATTTTGACATAAAAGAGAATTATTGAGCTCTGGATACAACTGTGGTAATCCATGGGATAACACAAGTGAACTTATCACTGATTGTATTGTGATAAAAATAGAGAAGAAATAATTCATCTTGTCAATTGTGTTCTAAAGTAACTGAACCAGTCTGTGCAGACTTCTGACAAAAAAAGATAATTATTTAAAGATCTAGATTCAACTGTAGTAACCAATAATGTTATGAATTGCTTTTGTATATACATTTGACTTGTTCTGAATATATTATTTTAAAAACAAATGGATTATTTACTGTCCATTTATTGTTGAAATTTATCGTCAACAAGTCAGATACCTACTGTCAAGAATCGCAGCCCATATAAAAACCTGACATGCAGAAGCTACATAATGTCATTTGTTTATTCATGTTTGTAAAAATTTGCAGCTTTGAAAATTTCACAGGATTTCATTGAAATAGTTTTTTCTTAGAAACTATTCAATATTGTTACCTTTGTTGTACGTTTTTTATTGATTATTTTTATGTCTTCCTACATTATTCTTCCAATAAAGTTTTAAATTTGTAAAACTGTAAATTTTTTTATTTGTTTTGACTAAAAAAAATACTATGCAGTTTCACTGTGTTTATGATGACTGGCATAAAATAAATAACTTTTATATCATATCAAACAAGCTAACTTGGGCTAATTAAAGCCTAAAACTGCAGTCCAGTCAAAAAAACTTGATACAGTTAAATACTAAATAGTTTTAACTAAGCCTACCTCATCTTGTTCCAAGCTTTAAATGAAAAAATAAGGACAGTAATTGGGGTGGAAATTGTTCCCAAACATCTTTTTATCTAGCAACATAGCGACAAACAAATCTTTTATTACTTTATTTGACCTCAACACAAATCTTGGCCAAACTGTAAACCATATTGGCTTGTACATTTTGAAAAGAACAAAAATAGCTTTCCTTACACAGTCAGAGCACTAGCCTGTGACTTATCAAAGCTAAGAAATACAAAATTACATCAATTGTGCCTTCAAAGCAGAATATATCCATCCAGGTAAGAAATTCATTAAACAAGGTTATTGAATTTTACCATCTCTTTCTTTATATCACACTATTCTTTGGTGTTTATGTAATAGTTCAAATGCAACTACATCACCAAGACACAAGAGGTATCCACCTGAAACCATTTTGAAACTTCAGTGAACCTTACAGGTTTATTATTCTCCTATATGACTTGACAGCATTCAATTTTACATATAAAAATTGTTTATTGTACTGACTGTGTTATGAGTGTATGGAAAACTTCAGTATTAATAAATTACTTACAAATTAAGTTTAAGGGGAATGAGGTTAATAACTACAAAGGTTCATTAAGCTTGGCATGAAAAGAAGTCTTAACACTTACATTTTTTTTCCTTTTATTAATACTTGTACTCTTGCTAATTACAAGTAAATAGACCAATAAATAGTGACATGACCGACATGAATTACTAAACTGGCTAAAACCTTTGCTACTATAAATATTCCCAGTTAGGTCTACATGTCAATAATTATGTGATGAAAAATTCCACTAACAAAAACTAATGTTTGACTATTTACAACTTATTGAACTTAATTACTTCTATAGTTATGGTTCCCCCCCTACTTAATAGAATGTTTTTTTTTTCTACAAGTTTATGTGTG